GGAGGGGAAGAGAGAGGCAGAAACAGCAATGAGGGAAGGAGCGAGAGTGTGAATGAATGTGTGTGTGCAATGAGGGGGAGAGGGAGTGTGTGTGTATGTGTTTATAGGGTGAGTCCCCCAAGAACACCCCACCATACACATGCACCCACACCCTCCATTGCCCTGCCATACACACAAACCCGTAGGCGACTGGTAGGGTATGCATGGGGGTGCATGTGCCTCCCTGAGAGGACCGGTGCCCCCCGTAATGGCCAACACTGATGCTGTCAACAGGACTGGTGCCCCCCGACAGGGCTGCCGCTGTCGGTGGTTTCTGCAGGTGCCCTCCCAGATTCAGGAGGCATCAGTCACTCATGCACAGACCCCTAATCCCACACCCCCTCACACACCCCAGCCACCCTCTCCCCACACATAGCCCCCACACAAACCCCATACCCTCTCACACCTTACATATCCACACACATACGCATGCTCCCTCACCCCACATCGACACCCCACACACCTATCCACCCCCTTAACCCTCCCCACACCTCACAAGCCCACACACCCACAGTCCCCCACAAACCTATAGCCACCCCCATGCCCTCTACCCCCCCCCAGCTTACAATTTTAAGCTATTGTGCGATCAATTCTGTGTACACTACACAAACACATGTAAATCAGGACAAAAATATTTTTTGAAATCAAATGAATGAATGTTGTAGATGTTCGATTTTTAAAATATAGTTTGGTATTTTTCTGGTTTTGAGATAGCAAAACCCCTTGCTGAAAGGAGTATTTCCAGTGGCAAGGGGTGGGACTTCTGGTGGCAAAATTTGGGGGTTAGGGGGTGGGACTTCCAGTCCCAAGATGGTGACCAGGAGATGGGGAACCTGTCAAGGGGCGGTGCTACCCATGCAGTCCTCAACAGTTTGCCAAAACCAGGTAAGCAGCCCTCCGCCCAAAATAACTGCCCACCCCTGCCTTATGGTTTTCTGAAGTGCCAAATAGTCAACAATGTTGTGCCTATCTTTATGCAAAACCCTACATTCGTTTTTGGAAATGTTATAGTGTTATACAAGAGCTCAGAAAAGGTGATGCCTTCTACAGTAATGCCTTCTAGCCTTGAAACACATAAATGCGTGAAAATATTTTACTGGTGCCGCTGCACCTTTAATGCAAGTCCCTGCCTCAGCACCAATTTAAGCAAGAATTCTCAACAGTTACTTGATAAATATTACTTCCTTCTAAAGACACAGATTGTTATAATAAAGATCAGTATAACTGCCCAAATAGAGATGTCACAACAGATCACAGCTAAGCGTAGCAAAAATTACTATTATCAGGTTTTCTAGCAAATAGCAAATACTTCACCTATTTTAAAATTTCAGTGGCAAAGTGAACAGTGCAGTGGATCACAGGAATTGAGTAAACATCAGTTCATTAATGGAAAACCATGCATCTTACTCAAAACACTTGCAGTGAAGTCTGATTAGAGAAGAATTGAAAAATTTCATCCTAGGCTTTTTCCACTAGAGATTTTTATACATAAAATTAAGTAAGTTGGTAGTTTAAGAGTTCTGTTGTAGCCGTGATTACATTAAGTTGAAATAAAACTGTATGCATATCTAGCTCTTTATCAAATTACTGAACTGTGCCTTCTCAAGTGCCAGTTGCTGGCTTTTCAGAGATGGTAATACCCTGTTCCCTTGTCCGAAAATCATTTTCTTGTATTCTCTATTTGGGGATTTTGTATTTAACTAGATGGAATGCTGCCAGTTGAAACATATCACCAGTCCTGATTAATTCAACAGAGAACATCAGACACATTTGCAGATTTATCTGAGTTTGCTAAGACAAAGGTGTTGTTGTTGCAGGTACAAAGGAGTTGGGGTAACGTACACTACTGGCAACTATATTGTATGTTTCCACAAACTGGGGGAGCCAGAGAGCTGGTGTTACCTTGATGGAACATTAGAATCCAAAAAGGTAGGGTGCGGAGATACGCCAGCAACTGAAGAGGAGTTCTCCATAGCTCCTAGGAAGGAAAGCATACTAAGCCACATTGTTTCTGTATAAATGTCTCAAAACAAAAGGATATCAGCAAGATAGTTAAATATCAGATAGTTAAATACAGACCAAAGCCTTACTCAGGGAATTAAGAACACTGCTGGTGCTAATGCAGGGCAGGTCAGGTTTGCCTGCTACGGTTAACTTACAGAATACAGAACTACTTGCAACTTAACACCAAGTGCTGGGTGGCAGTTAAATAACCTGGCAACCAATAGGCCAAGTCCACATGAGTGGGGACGTTTGTTTCCCTGGGGACACCCATGCCACATGCCCTCTGGCACTGAGCAGATTACCCCAGGTGGAGTAGAGGCTGGGGCCAGCAACTGTGCTGGCCCCAGAAGCTTTACCTGAATGTGCAGTGTGTGGTGCCACAGATGGGTCTGTGTCACCACATACCTCACAGCTGTGCTCATCTGGACATGGCCCTACAGTACTAATGCTTTGTACAGAAGAGCACCTTAGAAGCGGGTACTAGTCTTATCCTTAGTGAAGGAAAAGTTGCCAAAAGGTTGTGAAGTCCGCTCCATGATAGGGTAGATTAAGCTCTTTAATCCTGGTCAGCAACCAGTCTAGGAGGGAACCCCCAAAAGATGAACAAACGGATGATCTCAAATGGATGATATTCTTTGCTCCAGTAGCTTCTGCAGCCAAACTGGTTCCAAATGTACTGGTACCTGCCTTTCCTTTGGATTAAACCAGCAAAGCTAAGAGGGGGATGCTGTTGTGTGGGCAACTCATTGTCTCTATGTACATGCTCAAGCTTTTGTGCCCTGAAAAGGTCACTCCAGCTTCACTTTATTTTCAAGTGAGGATTATGTTCAGCAAAGCTGATGTCTCTGCGTAATTCTATTGTCTCGTGAGACAGATGCCTACTACTAGTAATGGTGCTAATACAGTGATTTTCAGTTCTCATCTGTCTTCTGTGTTACGTTATTGGATGGAATAGTATGCATTGATACTGATAATGTATTTTTACAATCAATGCTGTATTCACCTGAAACCAAAATGGCTTTGAATGTAGGGTAACCACCTTAAATAGGTATATTCCATACATGGAAAATTAGGACATATTATAATTTTACAATGTGTTGTGATTTTCTGTGTATAGAATCTAATTAT